TGATCACAGAAATAAATTACACTTTAACAGATATTCACATAGAAAACAGTTATTTTATATAGTAAAAAGTGTTTTTGCTGTATTTTGGATCAAATAAATCCAGGCTTGGTGAGCAGAAGAGACTTCTCTAAAAAACATAAAAAAACTTTCGACAGACGTGATTTTTCTTTTTCTTTCAGATTCGGACCTGAGCATGAGGACGCTCAGCACTCCCAGTCCCGCTCTCATTCTGAAGTCAAACCCTCCTCAAACAGTCCCAAACGGCCATGAAAGCCGTAGTTCACTGACAAGCTACGCAAAACCGCGTTCATAATCGCAGACCGATATAATCGTCCGATTGCGAAACCGAAAATATCGTTCTGCGATAATGACAGCTGTTTTTAATTTCGATTAATCATGCAGCCCTAGTGTGACGTGTCTGTGAGATCTTGAGTCGTGTCTGATGGTCTCGTTTCTTCAGGCGAGCCGAGTCCTCCGACGGTTCACGGTCAGAGAGGCGTTGGGAAGGCCTACAGACTCGGACTGATCAGACAAGACGACGGCGGGATGCCCATCGTGGAGTACATCGTCAAGTATAAAACGGTGCGTACGCTCAATAAATATCAACTGACATGAAATAAAATAAAAAATAAAATAAACATTAACTGAGATTAAATGAAATAAAAAATAAAATAAACATTAACTGAAATAAAATAAAATAAATAAAAATAAGAATTAAAACAATAAAAAACATTTATATTACTTGAAATAAGATCATCAACTCAAATAAAATTAAAAATTAAAAACTTTTTTCATATAGTTGCCAAGGTAACATTTTTAATTTTTGTTTTATGTGAAATACTAAAATAACTAAAACTTAAACTTAAAAATTATATAGAATAAAATAAAAATTCTAAAACTTTAAAATTACAAAGAAAACTGAAAATATACAAATACAATCTAAAAATATATATTAAAAAAATAAGAAAAATAAAATAAAATAAAATTTAACTGAAATAAAATAAAAATAAAATGAAATAAAATAAAATTATAACTATTTTTTATGCAAGTTGCCAAAGTTCAATAAACATCAACTGAAATGAAATAAAATAAAAAATAACATAAAATAAACTTTAACTGAAATAAAATAAACATAAAATAAAATAAAATTATAACTATTTTTTTATGCAAGTTGCCAAAGCAACATTTCTCATTTTAACTTGGACTAAAAAAAAAAATAAAAAAAAATTAATAAAACTGAAATAAAAATGAACAAAACTGTATAGACATAAATAACCCCGCTGAAAATGACAAACACATGTGAAAATTAATTAAAATTTGACAAAAATTAAAATAAAATGGAAAATATAAAAATAAAACCTGATTCAAAATATAAATAAAAACTATAATAATATGTCAATAATACTACAATAACTATTTTAAATATTTCTTTTTAACTTTAATTATTTTTGTTTTTTGTTTTGGTTTTAGTTACTTAAGTGCTTTAATTTATTGAATTAGTTGCTAGGGCGACATTTCTAATTTTCATTTAAGTTTTTGAAATGTTAGTTTTTCATTTAATAGTTATTTTAAATTAAATTTTACCTTCATTTCAATGAATGAAAGTGATTTTTAATAGTTTTATTTTTAGTTAACAATAACAGCACTGGCAGCGAACTAACAAAATGTTTGCGTTATTGCTCATTTCGTTAGATCATTTATGAAAATGTTTCTCTTTTTTCGTTTTTGTAATCTGTATTTCATTTTGGATAAAATTTGTGTCTACTCAATGAATAAGTGTCAGTGTATAACACAAGATAAATCTACAGTAGATAAATATTTTATCAAAAATACAGTAGAAATAGTAATATTGTGAAAAATTATTAAAATTTTAAATAACATTTTACTGAAACATAAAATCAGCATATTATACTGATTTCTGAAGATCATGTGACACTGAAGACTGGAGTAATGATGCTGAAAATACAGCTTTGATCACAGAAATAAATTACATTTTGACAGATATTCACATAGAAAACAGCTGTTTTAAACTAATAATTTTTCACTGTATTTTGCAGCCTTGATGAGCTGAAGAGGTTTCAAAAAGCATTAAAAATTTTAATTATTTCAGACTTTTGACCATCAGTGACTCACACAACACAATTTGCTATAGGCAATGTTTGCATGCATGAATTCATTGTAAATGCAAGTCCGTGTTGTGTTTTCTGATCTCAGTCTTCTCAGTCAGGTGATAAATGTTACATAAATAAACATGTTTACAGCTGCAAGCTAAATAACAACACTTGTGGTTTAATGTCGCAGATGCTTGAAAGAAACTTTACATGTTGAGTTTGTACTGTACGTAAGGAACTCTTTAAGCTTGGTTTGCACACACGGTGTTAATCTGAGCTGAAGTTAGCGTGTTTCTGTTGGGTCGTCTGAAGAATCCTGCTCTTGCCGCTGAGATCTCACTCACGCTGTGGCCTCATTTGCTTAAAGAATGCCGACGCGTGAGAGAAACGCTTTGAAGTCCTTCGGTTCTCCACAGAGGAGCAGCAGGAGGTGATTCCTCTCCGTCACGGATATAAGACACAAAAAGAGCCAAGCGGAGCATTCTAGCACTTACACCTACACTAACCTGCGCTTCGTCCTGCTTTCAGGGGAATCTCAAACATCAGATTACGAAGCCTATTTTAGGAACATTCAGATTTTTTCCACATTATTTAGTTAAACTATTAAGCTCTTTTAGCCACAAATTATCATTACTGTTATGCAATAAGTAAATAAGAAGTGTCTTCTGCTCACCGAGGCTGCATTTATTTGATTAAAAATACAATAAAAATTTTGAAATATTATTGCAATTTAAATAAGTGTTTTCTATGTAAATATCTGTTAACATGTAATTTATTTCTGTGATGCGCAGCTGTATTTTCAGCATCATTCCTCCAGTCTTCAGTGTCACATGATCTTCAGAAATCATTCTAATATGCTGAATACCATTTATTTATTTATTTATATTACATTAATGACAGTTTTGGGGAAAATGTGATTAATTGCACAATGTAAAAACTTTTTTTTTTTGTTTCATGCAAAATAATAATTCACAGTAAATAATTTTTTCCCCCTATTGTATTCAGTGTGAAATATTTTTGATCAATTTAATGTATTCATTTCTTAAAAAAAAAAAAAAAAGAATAAAATGAAAAAAAAAAAAAAATGAAAAAGAACTTATTGAAACCAAACTATTGAACACTTGTGTAAATGAGTATAATGAATAGTATTAGTATATGAAACCATAAAATGTCATGGAAATATTAATTTAACTAAATATAAATTATTATTATTATTATAATTATCATCATCATCATCATCTTTGTATTACAGTAATGACAATTTTGGGGAACAATGTAATTAATAGCACAATCTAAAAACATACAAATATTTTTTTTTCTTGCAAAATAATAATTTACAGTATGTGATTTTTTTTTGCATTGTTTTTGTTTGTTTGTTTCATCTTCCATACAATTTTCCCATTGCATTTTGTGTGAAATATTTTGGATCATGTATACTTAGTGAATGAATGTATCCTTACTGAATACAAATATTAATTTCTTTAAAAAACAAGCAAACTATGGAACAGTTTTGTAAATAACATTTATAAATATACATAAATAAATATCAGTGACATGTCATGGTGATATTTATTGAACTGAATATAATTTATTATTATTATTATTATTATTATTAAATAAACTCTTTGTATTGCGTTAGTGAATATTTTGGGGGAAATGCAATTGATTTCACAATGTAATATCTAAAAACTCATTAAAAAATAGACTTCATTTTCATGCAAAATAATCATTTACAGTATGTGATTTTTATTTTATTTTTGCATTGTTTTTGTTTGTTTGTTTCATTTTCCATACAATTTTTCCATTGCATTTTGCATATTTTGGATCATGTATACTGAATAAAAATATTAATTTCTTTAAAAAACAAACAATGGAACAGTTTTGTAAATGACATTTATAAATATACATAAATAAATATCAGTGACATGTCATGGTGATATTTGTTGAACTGAATATAATTTATTAGTAGTATTATTATTATTATTAATAAATAAAGTCTTTGTATTGCATTAGTGAATATTTTTGGGGAAATGCAATTAATTTCACAATGTAATATCTAAAAACTAGATATTCTAGACTTAATTTTCATGCAAAATAATCATTTACAGTACATATTTTATTGTTTTTTTTCCCCTCTTTTAAATGTTGTAGTGAAATATGCACCTGGTGATTTTAGTGAGGTTCAGAGTATTCAGCGTTGATCTGTGCTCATCAGAGCTGCGCTAAAAAACAACATTACAGATGAAAGTGTCAGAGAGAAACAAGTCTGGCGTTCATTACCAGAGCTTTTGAAGGCCATCCTGGTGAGATGTGTGTAAAATAAAAGATATCAGACACACAAGAATGATTTCAATCTGCTGCTCGCAGAAGGTCAACAGCACAAGCTTGACCTTAAAGTCGCATTAAAATCAAAACAGACTCTCCTAATGCACGTTTCTCATCTTATTGTGAGCGTTTAGTTTCCTGTAAACTTGCTTAACCTCTAAACAACTTTCTTTTTCATCTGAAAAGTCCACTTTTCTCAGTTCTCGGTTAATAATATAAATCCTCAATCTACATATATGCCACATGATGGGCGTAAAATGGGTTTCATTTCAGGTTGACTTTAAAAGACACACGAAAGAGAAATTAAAGGACGCTGTTATCTCCGTCAGCCAATGAAAACGTGTCTCCGTCAATCACTCGAGAGACTCCCATTGAAGTTGCTGGTCTTTGTATGAGATTGACGTTCAGTCTGCAAAGCTTCATGGGAAGTGAAATCTCTTTAAAGTGCTTTACTGAAATTGAAGTGAAGAAGATCAGATACTTCCAGACATATCAGGTCAGGATGAGTCTATACTTTCTGCCTTTGCATTGATTCTTTATTCCTCCCTTAGGTCTTTTTTTGTTCTTATTTTTGGTTTATTTTCTGTCTCGTTTTCTATTGTTTTTGATGCGGTCCGTCAGACTGCTGAACTAATGGAGATGAAGTCCTGTCGTTGTTTACTCATCCTTCTCAGGTCGATCCAAACTTATGAAGACTGAAGACCCAAAAATGAAAATAAAACACCATTAAAGCACTATTTCCAAGTCATCTCAAGCAGTGCTAGTATTGTAAACTACAAAAATTAAAATTAAAATTATTGGTGAAATAAAATAAGTATTAACTGACATGAAATAATAAAAAAAAATATGCAAACAGGTTTTCTGTAAGGACTAGGTTTAGGGTTAGGGGATAGAAAATATTGTTTGGTCAGTATAAAAGTAATAGAAGTCTATGGAAAGTCCCTACAATTCACAGAAACAAACGTGTGTGTGTGTGTGTGTGTGTGTGTGTGTGCAGGATAAAGAGGAGCAGTGGATGACGAAGCTGGTTCCCGGCGTGAATGATTTTGCGCTGCTGCAGCCGCTGCAGTGGAACATGCGCTACAACGTAGAGATCACGGCGCGTAACGTCAAGGGCCTGTCGGAGCCCACCTTCTTCCAGTTCCTCATGCCGCAGAAACCCGACATCACAGGTACATCCTCTGTGGACTTACAGCTGAATTGTGTTAAATTAGTGCAGAATCCATTCGCTTTTATTATCCAGAGTTCGGCTGCGTCCCGTCTAGTATATACTTTGTTATAAACCCTACATAGGGAGCGACCTTCTGATATGCATTAAGTCAAGTGGAGCTTCACAAGCTATTTTAGTATTTATTCACATATTTAGTTAGTTTTTATTTGTATATTTTCTGTTTTCATTTTAATTTAGTTTGTTTTAGCATGTTTGATGTAGTTTTGTCATTTTTATATTTTTGTTTTTTTATAATAAAAATATAGTGAAGACATTTTAATTAGCAAAAATGAAGCCTGTTTTAGGACCATGAAAATGTTTTACTTTTATTGAATTATTTGATGGTGATTTTCATTTTTGTATTACAGTATTTTTTTTTTTACTAAAACTGTGGTATTTTTTTTTTTAATCTCCATGAATTAGTAGTACAGCAAATAATACTGTGTATAAATTATTTACCATTTAAATATTGTATTAATGTAACTACTTTAATTTAATTAATATTGTAATTTTTCTACTTTTCCGTAATGGAATTTTTATGGTAAGGATTAATCCTTTGCAATTTAAATATTGTATAAATATTTATTTTGAGTTCATATTATAGTAATTTAAGATTTTGAATTCCTTTTTTTTTTCTATTTTCATTTTAATTTCAGTTTGTTTTAGCAATTTTGTTGTGTTTTTATCATTTGTATTCATTTTTTTTTTTCACGTTTTTTTAATTACATTTTTAGTTTGAATAGTAGTAGTTTGAATTTAGTGCTTAAACCAAATGAAAATTAGAAATGTTCCCTTGGCAACAAACTGAAATATTTTTTTTTCTTCAGTAATACGTTTTTCTCCTTTAAAAAAGGATTAAATCCTTTATTTTCTCTATAATAATAATAATAATCATTATTATTAGCATTATAATAATAATAATGTCCCAATGCTAAAAAAATCTTAATACATCTATAACAGGTTTTATTTTCTTAATGCAAAATATAATTTCTTTTTGCCTTT